CCCTTGCAGTGATGTACAGCTTGATCCCTCTTGACCACTCTAAATAATTTAAACCATCAAGAGGAATAACAGCCATGGGAAAGGATAGGTCCACACCCCCATTCATTCCATTCAGCATTGAGGAAACACCGGATGTAGCAGAATCTTCACCACTCATGATTTCAGATTCAAAAGCAACTCTTAAATGGGATACACAGCCTTGAAGAAATTCAACACTGAGGGGGAACAAAAAAAAAGTTTTCTTCAGAAACACACCTTTTGTAAAAACACAGGGGCTGTTACAGCACTGACAGGTCATCCCTTGACTTACAAGCTCAACACAAGTGTTGCCACAATGCATACAGGTCACCTCTTGACCTACGCATCAACAAGACTGTTGTTACTGCAAGTACTGGTCACTTTCTGACCTTCAGTTCACCATAAAAGCTGCTATTGTAGCACACAAGAGGTACTGGTCACTTTCTGACCCTCAGTTCACCATAAAAGCTGCTGTTGCAGCACACAGAAGGTCCTCACGACCTATAGTTTTACAGGGATCAGTCGACCCCACAAAAAAGGAAAGAAAGAGGTGCTGATCACCTCACATCCAATCGGCAGACCTAGTACAGGTTCTGCCCTGGCACACGACCAGAAAAAAAAGGTAAGAGAGAGAGAGAAAAGTTACTTCAGTGTGTGAGATCTTCAATCAGCCGAACAGCAGATGAGGGTGGCAGATCTGGAAATCTGGTGTGAAGAAGAAAAAAAACTGTTAACTTGACTTCTCCTTCCAGATCTGATAGTCCCGCTCTGATACCATGTTATGCAGGAGAGAAGAATGGAAGAAGAGAGAAAAGAGAGAGAAGAGAAAACTGAGAGCAAAAGATGCTGCTGGCGGCGCAGCTTTTTTAATATATATACACTAGGGTTACAGCAACTAAAATAAAAAAGAGTAAAAGTACAATGGTACCCCTGCGGTATACATAGGAAAAATAACAGCTGTTAACAAGAGGGAAATTAAATGGCTAGCTAGGGGGCTGGAAATCCAATTTCAGTGGGTGAAGAGAACAGCAAATACATTTGCACAGATGCTTTGGCAACGCAGGGGGTGAGAAGGGACCAAATGTTTTGGGCTGTATTCTAAGTTTTTTTGTTGTGCTCTCAGAGAGTTAAGCCTTTTTATCTCTCTCTGGAGTGCTGTAACTAATTTTTTTATTAATCTAATGAATTCCTGTTTATATATATATATATATATATTCAGTATTATTGTTGCTTCTTGCAGATTTCTACTAAGTTGTTATTCACTCTTTAATGAAGGTTTTTGCTACATTAATAGGAAATCTTAGACTATTCACATGTCCCTGGACAAGCTGTGCTTCATCGTGGTCGTCACCGGCATGGTGCTAGAGCCACAACATCTGGGCATAGGATCAACTTACTTCTATGGTGCAGAAGGTATTTTATCCTTTACATCTTTATTGCCTTCTATATCCTTGAGTTGAAACATCCTCTCAGCTTCGGTAGCATATATTTTTCAACAAATTATAATTTCATCCTAATCAAGCTATTTGAATTTGTTATTCGTCTGTGATTTTTATATAACTTGGTGTTCTATTTCTTTTAATTTGTACCACAATACAGTGCATCATTACTGCAGGTGCTTAAAACAACAGTTTGCACAAAAACCAGGGGGGGGGGGCGGGGGATGAAAAATGAAGAATGGATAAAAAGTATGTATTCCTGCTAGCTTAAATTACTTGAAGGTAGAAGGTGGAGTTATCTTGTAGAGACATTCTTAATTTTACAGAAGCTTCTTTCTCTAGCCTTTCATCCTATTTTTGTCTCTCTTGCATCAAAGCAGCAGAGAGGAACAGAAAAACAATGGGAAGGAATGGTCCAATATAATAGATGGCTATGTGCAATAGGACTCTTATTTACAGATCAGATTTTGGCTCTTCCACACATGAAGACCTTGATAGATTTTCTTTGGGAGGGTTTCTGGAATATCTTACATCTTAATGATATATAGATAATTAACTTATTGTATAGACACTGCTTTTGTTCTACTTTTGTTTTTCTGGTGTTCTGTATGTTCTATATTCTCCTTTTTTTAATAAGATTTTGACTTTCTTAACACCTGATGGTGCCACCCAAGGCACAAATGTGCACACACAAGAGAAAGATGAAATAATTTGAGTGCTTAAAGAATGAAACTCTCAGCTGTAATAATCATGTGATCAATCAACCAGAACTCATTCTTGGACTAGTAGCATTTGAAGCATTATCTCCTTCAACAAGTGAGATTGTGATTTGACAAACTAGAATATAACGGTTGAAGAGAGTTAAACTTGAGAAAACTCTTCCTAAGGCCAGTGATTTAAAAGACACACCACTTTCAAAAGACATGGCCTGGTGTACCTTGCACCTCAGCCCACGCGTGCACCTTTTTCATTTTTTGTGCTTTTTGGTGTTTTTTAATCATTATGGTTGGGTCGGGGGCTTTGCCCCTGGACCTCGACCAAGCCCCTTGAGGCAAGCCCAGACAAAGCCATGTTAGGGTCTTAAAATTCTTAATCCCTAAAAATTGATTTTATAGTTTTAGTTATCTTTTAAAAATGTCAGTTGGGAGTGCAGGAGGGCTGCTAAGCATGTGGGATCTGTCGGTTTGTAGCTTGATCTCCTCTCACATTGGAAACTTTTTGGTTTCTCTAGTTCTGAAATTTGCAGATGGGAATATTTGTCAAGCCACAAATGTTTATGGTCTACTGATCGAAATCTACGGGAGGAGTTTTGGGAGGAACTGGCTGTGGTGAGGGGAAATGTGTCTTATCCATGGGTTATTGGTGGTGATTTTAATGTCACTTTGTCTGCTGAAGAGAAAAATTCCAGAGGGAGAAGATCCAGGGATATGGCTCAGTTTGCTGACTTCATCAACAGATTTGAATTGATTGATTTACCTCTCCATGGTAGTCGGTTTACTTGGACCAATAATCAAGATATCCCTACTCTTGTGAGATTGGATAGGTTTTTGGTTACTTCTAATTGGGATGATCTCTTTCCTAACTTTAAGCAGATTGCCCTTCCTAGGCCAGTTTCAAATCACATTCCAATTCAGCTAGCCTGTGGTGCCAAAGATAGAGTAAAAGCCCCTTTCAAAATGGAGAATGCTTGGTTTGAAGATGCTAATCTTACTCCTTTGTTGAAGACAGTGTGGGAAGAACTATAGGTAATGGGATCCAGCTCTTTCATTCTGGCAAAAAAATTGGGTGCCATTAAAGCAAGGTTAAAGATCTGGAAATTGGAGAAAGGCATGAACTTAGAAACGGAAAAGAAAGCTCTTTTGAGTACCATAAAGGAAATTGGTTCAACAGAAGAGTTGGGTCCTTTATCAGAGGATGTAGATTGAAAAGATCTCAGGCGAAGTTGAAGTATGATAAATTGGCCGTGACGGATGAAATCAAATGGAGACAAAGATCTAAAGTGATTTGCCTAAAAGAGGGGGATAGAAATGTGTACTTCTTCCATAAAATGGCAAATGCAAGAGCCAGAGCTTTCGTAATTACTAGGTTGGAAGGGGAGGGTAGGGTGGGGGAATCTGAGGCAAACATGAAGACAGTGGCAACCAGCTTTTATAAAAAACTTTATAAAGAATCCTGGTTCTTCAGACCATTTCCTAGGTCCCTTCCCTTTAAACAGTTGAGTGATGTGTAGTCCACCTTCATTGAAAGACCTTTCATGGAGGAGGAAATAAAAGCAACAATTAAGATGTTGGCAGATGAAAAGTCCCCGGGGTCAGATGGACTTACAAATCTTTTCTATATTAATGTTGGGACTTTGTGAAACAGGATATTCTTAATGTCTTTCATGGCTTTTATGAGAGAGGTTCTTTGCAGAGGAGTTTAAACACTACCTTTATTACCCTTGTTCCGAAGATTGAAGGTGCAGTGAACATAAAAGATTTCAGGCCGATTAGTCTTCTGCATATCTTCTATAAAATCTTAGCCAAAGTCCTTGCTGAGAGAATGAAAGGGGCTCTAGGTAGTGCTATCTCTAACAATCAAAGTGCCTTTGTTTCGGGTAAACAAATGCTTGATTCAGTTCTGATTGCCAATGAGCTAATTCATTCAAGAAGAAGAGAAGGTTCCCCAGGGCTGATCTATAAACTTGATATTGAAAAGGTTTATGATCATGTCAACTGGAGATGTGTTGATCTTATGTTGCAACAGATGAATTTTGGGCAGAAATGGAGGAACTGGATAAAAGTATGTATCACCTCTCCAAAATGTTTAGTCTTGATTAATGGACAATTTGTAGGCTTCTTTGATAGTTCCAGGGGTCTTAGATAGGGTGATCCCCTATCTCCATTACTATTTATATGTGTAATGGAGATCCTCACTTTGGTGAGTGGGAAGGTTTTGCAATTACTTTGGAGGGGGAGAAGGTTAACATTCTCCAATTTGCAGTTGATACTTTTTTTGTGGATGCTTCTCCCTCCCAAGTGGACTTAATTCTTGAGATCTTCTCTTGGTTTGAGGTGGTTTTTGTCCTTAAAGTCAATTGGAATTGTCAGCAAGATATGATTTGCGGCAAATTAAGAAAGATATGATTTGCTGCAAATTTAGAAAGATTTGATTTGATTGATTA